GACGTTAAAGACGAGCGTCTAGTGCGAATCACTCGAGTCAAACAGGGGCCTAGATAGCCAGTCGTATTGTGGGCTAATACAGGGCTAATGCACAGGAGCTAATGGCACTCCTGTGAACACGAAAACCATTAGGTGAAGAGTACGAAGAAAACGAAAGTCTTGTTGATCCAGGTACATTGAGGATGAAACGTGGTCGCATTTATTCATCAGTTAAGGGAAATGGTGTTTTCAGAGAGGAATGTCGCCACGATGTATCGATCAAGTCGATGCACTTCCTGCATTCAGTCTAAATGGTTGAATTTCAGTCAAGATGAATATGGACAATAGAAGTGGACTGCGGAGGCTGGGGTCGAACGACAGGGAGAATCTCCTACTAATGAGGAGCAAAGTAATGATGATTGTTATCCAAACGATTGGTATATTGATAAGGGTGCACACATTGTTTGCTATCTTTGTCCGATAAATCGACTAGATTAAAATATAATCAAAGTATCGTTCTATTTTTCCTTAGAACAAAAGGCATTAAAATATAGCCTCGTTCTTTGATTGCGCAGATGATGGAGAATTTCGTTCTCTCTTCTGTTACAACTCATGAGGAAAATATGTTTTCCCATTGGAATTGCCAAGCAACAAACTTCCACTAGCTTTCAAGAGGTGTTTTCATCTTTCCGTGCCTTGTGGACAGGTCCGTATAGAGCACGAGAACAGCCAAATTCCTCAATTTAGTTGCATGAAAGGTTCTTTTAGACAGACTCTTCAAGAGATAATACCGCTAAGTTAGGAGGACTTTTAACAGAACACTGAATGATATATTTGTTGGCACTATTTTAGATCAGGCGGACTGTTAAACGGTCACACTGACTAAGCAATTTAGAAGGAAAAGAAATACTTCCGATGCCATTCCATATTGGGTAGCCTCAAGGCGTCACCTATAGGTGAATAAATAAAGTGGGTCTAGGTAGGTGGGTGCATGCGCCAAAAGCCAACCGGGCTCTTTTATGATTATAGTAAAGTAACAAGTGCAAAATTCAATGAACCGATTGTGAATTCCGAAGTCGAACCACAGCCTTCCGAAGTAAGCTGTCATATAACCCATCCCAATTCTACAGTTTAGTGGAGCACTTCAGATATCCATTCGTTGGCTTGTTCGTCATATCAGAGCGAAGAATGGCCAACTGAGCTGAAGGAGAATGTAGGCGTGATAAACTACTCATAAGGTTGCTGAAAACTCTTCGACAGCCCTTGACTGGTTTTGCCCTTCTTGAGTCTTATCAGGTAAGCACAGTCCCCGAGTTTTCGTCAACCTCACGTTCTATTTGAACCCCAGCTGGACAGATTTCGACATATGAATTTAGTTTTGACAGGAGACTCACCAGGAACTCAGCTGAATGTGCTGCACCAGGCGCCTCATATTTCAGCTGGTACTATGGTCTTTGGCTTGTTCGCTGAGCTGGGCAATTAGATTGCAAACATTTCATCACCAATCGGGGTGACATCATCAGTGTGTTATTGGGGAGCGTAGTGGTGCGTAGCGGCTGGTTAGTGGTTGTGCTACGCTTGCAGGCGAGTAGAAAATCACGTACGACCGTTGAGAACTGCGCACGCACAACCACAAGTGAGGTTTGTTTCTCATTAAAAACCCACACAGAACCCACTGTTTTTTTGGAAGCGGAATGTGAGATGACAACGAATAATCGAAACGGATGCTGCAGAACCGATAGCTGTGGTGTCTTTGAAAATAGAAAGTTTCGCAACCCGTCCAACTATGCTGCGATTAAGAGTGGATACAAAATCTTTAAAAAGGTTTTTAGTGATCCATTGATGTTTGGAGAGTGAATACTTGACTGACGGCCGCCAGGAGAGCTGTGCTTTCCAAAAACGACCAAAGAGTGACGTTCAGCAAGCATACAGGCATAGTACAGCATAGCGGTGTACAGCGCGTTCGTTAGAGGTCTCTGTGCACGTTGTTCGTGTTCTGTCGATTTCCATAAACTACTGAAGCAGTTTATTGCGGTTTCGCTCCCACTGGATGTACTGTTTGTATGTACACCGCGTTCTACCAGCAGAAGCACGTCTCAAATACTACTACATCCTTTTTGGTGTTACATCTCGTTTTCATGACCACATCACATGGATAAGTTATAAATTTACCATTTACTTTGAACGGTTGGACACCTAACCACCTCCTTTGATATCCAATGCAGCCAACTGAGACTATGAAGTCGTTTACTGCTGAACGAACAATCAGATCAGACATCTTGATGCATAGAAATTCGGCTACCGCTGGTTATCCATGTTGATATCTCAACCGTATAAACTTCTGGAAAGCATCTTCTACTCCGTTCAACTATCGTAACAGGCTAATGCAACAACAGAATGAAGATTTTGTAGATGGTTTGTTCCGGGAAACACCTGGACACCTCACTACGAAACGGTGTGGTCTGTGTTCCGCTCACTCCCTCCGAAACCTGAGGTTTCTGCTGAATCGTGAGTTTGCATCGACTAGGTTTTGTCTTTGGCAAAAGGATGGAGTTGTTAAACAGAGAGCGTCAAGGCCAGAGACTGCTTCTCTTCAGATGAGTCGGGACTAGACAGGAAACTTGTCCTTCCTCAGCTATGTTACGCAACAGTAGACGCCTAAACGGCATCATGTAATAGTGGTGTATATTGAAGTTCCTGCAGAAACTCCCTCAAGAAGGGCTCAAGTTGGCTCATAGGTCAGTCAGGAAAACGCCTCCACAACGAGGTCCCGAATTTTAAGACGAATATCCTGTTAACCTTGGTCCATTAGAATACATCATCGCGGTTCGACTGTTTCACATTTGTCTTACGTTCCACTTACGGGCAGCTGATACAGCCACATGATCGACTGTCACACACGGATGAATTTGATGATTAAATGGGACAGATTACCCTGCACCCACCACCCGTTTGTTTGCCGGCCACTGGGTGCTCCTGACAAAGTTCGAGATAGTCCGACACCGTAGGTCCGGGGACACCAAGTGAAAGAGCTTCAGCTTCTCTTTTTCAACTTTTTGACCTTCGGTACGATGTAAACTGCTGCCAATCCACGTGTGCAGACCTTCGTCAGACTGACATGCCAGAGACGTTTCGTATGGTGTGCGTCACCTCTAGCCAGTATTCTGAAAAGAATATGCCGGCTGAGCTTTGAACTTGCTGCGTGTAAAATTTTGCTGCAAGATTGGGTCTTAAATATCCCGACTGTCTACACAAAAAACTGTCAGTCAGCGACAGTTCGTAAGTCCGCCTACTGTGGAAGTGTCGCATGCTCTTCTCCCTCTTCTAAGAATGAGGCCATCTAAAGGCCTAATGAAGCCTCACTCTCAGCTCTAACACCGTTCCAGTGCATAGCTGCTATGTCACTCACGGAAAACATGAGATGAACTATCGCCAGTTTGTCTCAGCCTAGGAAGGAGCATTTGAGAGCCCACGAGTTGGATTACGACCACGAAACATTTGGTCAGTTATTTCACGCCTTAACCACTGAGCTCTCCAGCTCACGTTCTTTGAAAGACCAGCTAAAACTGCGGTGCTCTCGGGTTAGGTCCTATGGTGTGGGGACCGCCACAGCCCTACCTAATAGTTTCTCTGAAGAACAAGAGAGCTGGAGGCGATCAGGCGACGATAAAGTCTCGAGTTACAAATGTGACGGTCGCACAACGTAGAAAGACTTGTAAACGTCGAAGGCAGTTGAAAGCTGTCATTGAAGCTCAGAAACACTTACTGATAGGATAAAATGCTGCATTGATTAGGTAAAATGAAACCTCAAACTCACCAACTCACACTAAGTAGCCCTGCTCACCGGTTCAAAGTTTCTATCCCAGCACTGGCATTTGATATCATCGGACAATCTGTACAATATGTTGATTAAATTTCAGAACTAAGCTGAATTGGTTAAGAACCAGAGTATTTTTTCTGAAATATTTTTTCAACAAAAAAGTGGTTTGAAGGCGGAGTTACCCAAGGATTAAAACTAGTTCGCGCAGTGATCGAAAATTCAAAATCAAAGCACCCGAACGAATAATGAAGGGCATGAATAACGGAAAACGGCCCTGCAACGAATTCTGTTGCAGATATAGGAGTAA